GACAAGCCTAGTCTAGAGGGTTTGGAAAAACTGTCTGCTCTAGATATCATTTACCTTGTATTTTCAGGTTGTTGGAATTTTAATTCTCTCATGGGCTAGGTGATTTAAATTGAAAATTTGGCTTGCTTTTGTTGTGGCAAGTGGATTTAAGACTTACTTTTTTAAACTTTGCTGTACAGGGTGAGCCTTGTTGCTTAGTGGTAAGCATTTGTGCTTACCCAAAGGGATGCACTTCAAACCCATAGTTGTTCCTTGGGAGAAAGGGGGGAAATTTTCTCCCTTTGTGATTTATACCCTTTAAAGAAAAATCTGCTGATGCATTAGCTATGAGTCAGTTCCAATTCAGCGGTACGCAACAGAAACACAAGGTTGATCAGGAAGGCTTGCAGTGTGTGTCACAGGGTTGCTGTGAGTTGTGATCAACTAGAGGGCATCTAACAACAACAGATAGCATAGGAGGAGATTGCCCATTTTTCTCACAGTGATCATTTGGTGGATTTGAACTGCCTACCTTGGACTGACAGTGGAAAACTCCTTACCCACTAGGCCACTAGAGCTTCGCGTGCGTGCGTGCGTGCGTATGTATGTATGTATGTGTAGGTATGTTGCCCTTGTGTGCCATTGAGTTGGAACCAACTGGTAGCTGACCCAGCAGCAGAGTTTTGGATTCTGTATATCACACAGAAGGACATTACCCATTCTTCTCATGTGACGCGTAGGCATTTGTTGCTGTTGAGTTGGAACTGATCCAGAGCTGAGCGTCCAGTGGATTTCTAACCTAAAGGCCGCCATTTGAATCCTCTGTTGGGATTTGCGTGAAAGAGCACAAAGCAGATTTCTTTTCCACTCAACTATTGCTACACATTTTGGTTTTTCATATTAATAAGCATTAGGGGACAATGCAAGTAGGAACTTGTTCTTTTTTTAGTGCCCATGGAATTCTTGATTACTTTTATAAAGGAACTTTTTTCTTTTAAAATTCTCCACCATATGGAGAAACTTAACGCTTGCTTATTAAACATATTGAACTTTGAAGTTGAAACGTTTAGGCCTACTTTGAATTTAATTGATTCTGCCAGCTGAAGACCGAATCTCTCATTTCAGATTCCGAACATACTCAGCTAAACAACTCACCTCATTGCTGTTCAGTCAGAACTACTTCCCAGCTGACCTTCCGGCCAGTTTTCAGAGGCTGTAAATCACCTGGGTGGAAATTGCCCAAGTTTCTCCCTCAGAGCAACTGGCAGATTCAGACTACTAAAGCGGGTTGGCCTTTGTGTTAGCTGGGTAATTCCCTGAGGACTCGGCTTATGCCATCAGAGTGACCAAATATTATTTTCTTTAATTAGAAAGTACTGTAAGGAGCTCTGATGGTGTAATGGCTAAGTGTTGGGTTGTCATGCAAAGTCAGCAGGTTGACATCACCAGTTACTCCATAAGAAAAAGATGGCCTCTCCTCTCCTTTTAGATTCACAACCTCAGAAACCTGATTGGCAGTTTGCTCTGTCAGGTAGGGTTGCTGTGAGTTGGAATCAACTTGATGACAGTGAAGAATTTTAATAGAAGAGCCAAGTTAGTACAAATATACAGACAATCCCATAGTGAGGAATTAATGACATCTATGCAGTTCTGTTCCCTCCATAGGTGGACTTTGTCTTTAAAAGCTAAGGGCTTAAAAAAAAAAAAAGCTAAGGGCTCTGAAAAACAAATATCAGAGTAGAGCACCAGGGTATGTAGGATTAAGTAAGAAATGTTTCTTAAAAAAGGAAAATTTAAAAAAGAAGTTAAAAGAATGTACAGGTACTTGGAAAATACAGGTTCTTGGAAAGATCTCTTATTTGTCTGAATTAGAAGATCCATTGTTTTATTTTTCCTGAGTTTAATCCATAAATTTAAAGTAGTTTCCATAAAATCCTAAGAAGAAATTTTAGAACTACCATTCCTAATTTTATATGGAGATATGACAGTTACTTAAGAGTTATGGCGATTTTAATTTGTAATCTTTTACTCAAAAATAAATGAAAACTTGAGAAGAAAAGACTATAATGGGAATTTTACAGAACAAGAGCTTTGAGAGAGCTCTGGCGTATTGGTTTACAAAGCATATTGTTGTTGTTACGTGCTTTTGAGTCACTTGCGACTCATTGTGACCCTGTGTACAATAACTCTGAACCTCATTGTCTCTGACACCTACCTCCATTACCCTAGTGACTGAGTCAATCCGTCTCTTTGACAGTCTTCCTTTCTTGTGCTGTCTCTTCACCCTTCTAAGCATGACGTCCCTCTCCAAGGACTGGTCCTTCCTTGCAGCATACCCAAAGTATGTCAGATGGAGCTTCAGAATTTTGGGTTTACCCTTTCCAGAACAAACTTATTTGTTCTCCTAGCAGCCCATGGCATCAATACTATTTTCTCCAGCACCACAGCTCAAAGGCATCAGTTCTCCTTCTGTCATCCTTAATCATTGTCCAGCTTTCTGATGCATAGCAAGTAATTGCGAAGACCATGGCCTGCATCAGGCACACCTTGGTCTCTAGCCTGACTTCATTGCTCTTCAGTACTCTGGAGAGGTCCATTACAGCAGGCTTTCCCAGTGCAGTTTGTCTTTTGATTTCCTGGCTGCTGATACTAAGAGTGTTTCTTTGGAGCTAAGACAACTGAAGCTGACAACAACCTTAGTCTCTTCACGTTAGGAAGTAACTAAGGAAGGGTGATGTGTGCAAGAACCAAAGTTAGTACAGTTTTAACTGTTGTTACTGTTTTGGTGCTGTTTTTGTTGTTCTGTGCTGTTGAGTTGGTCAAGACTCATGGGACTCTACAGACAGTGACTCTGAACCTGCCTTATCCTGCGTCATCTTCGTCATCTCTACATCATTGAGTCCATTGTCAGAGTCATCATCTCAGTCCATCTTGTCAAGGGTCTTCCACTCTTACACTGACCCTCTACCTTTCCAAGCATTGCCATCCTTCTTCAAGGACTGATCTCCCCTAACAACAGGTCTCAAAGGATGTGAGACCAGATTTCACCATCCTGGCCTCCAGGGAGCACCACAGTTTCACTTTCTCCAGAAGACACCTGTTTGTACTGTTGGCAGTCCATGGTATATTCCGTACTGTTTTCCAGCACTACTACTCAAAAGCATCTATTCCTCTGTAATACTTGGTCATTTTTAACTTTGAGATGGCAGAGCAAGCAATAGAAAGGATTATGGCTTGGATCAGACACACCTTAGTTTTAAAATTGACATCATTATTCTTTAACACTCTGAAGAGTGTAAAGACACTCCTTGATAGTACATTTCCCCAGTATGATTCATATTTTGATTTATTGACTACTGGTACCAAGGGTATTGACTGTGGTTTCAAGTAAGATGAAATCTTTGACTTCAGTCATTTTCTCCATCTTGGTGTTGAGATGTAATTCATATTTGAAGACCTGTATAGTGTTTGATCTTATGCAGCAAGTGCTTCAAGTTCTCCTTACTTTCAGCAGGCAAGGCTGTGTCATCGACGTAACTCAGGTTGTTAATGACTCTTTTTCAGTCCTGATGCCACATCCTTCTTCATAGTACTGCTTCTTGAATTATTGGTTCTGCGTATAGGTTGACCAGATATGGAGAAAGGATACAGTCCTGACACACACCTTTCTTGACTTTAACCCAAGTACTGCTCTCTTGTTCTGTTCATACAACAGTTTCTTACTCTAGACATAGGTCCAGCATGAGCCCAGAAAAGTGTTCCGGCATCCCCATTCTTCTCAGTGTTAGTCTTAATTTGTTGTGCTCCACATAGTCAGATGCCTTTGCATAGTCAACAAAGCACAGACAGACATCCTTCTGATATTCTCTGTGTTCAGCCTGAATCCATCTGACATCAGCAAGGCTATCTCTGATGACGCAGCCTCTTCTAAATCCAGTTTGAAGAAATGACAAACTTTTTAGTGAATAATGTTGTGACAATTGACTAAATCTTTTGGAGAGAAATTAGAACTAGGCTCTTTCTTTAGAGTGTGTGTGAAAGGCAGCTCAATTCTGGAACGATGAGGTGGTGATGCATGCACATCTTTGTTATTGTACAGACAACACAATTGTGTATGGCCTGTAAATTGTATCTTAATACAGTGATAAGAAAAAAGAAATTCTACGTAGTTTAATGTATCTCCTTAAACTACTGAAATGTGAGTGACAATCAAGGAAGTGGATTTCCTAATCCTGAATGGAGGAAGTATTTCTAGTGTATGCACAAACCCAGAGCCACCAGGAAATCTTGAACTGGACAGCAGGGTTTCACACATTCTCTAAAAAGGAAATGCTAGGAGCAAAGCTGACGGGAAAATATCATCACATACTTAGCAGAGATTATTGTCCATATGAGCCCACATGTAGCTCCTTCAAGTAGCATGGACAAGTTTGTGCAATGTCCTTCCATCTTTGCAGAGATGAAACGTGCCGGTTCAGCGCCAGGCATGCCTGAGCAGTCGATAGGAGGGGCCTCAAGAGGTAGCCACAGGCATTACCTTAGTTACTGTACTGTGGATCTTGGGCCCAGGACTTTTTACTTTACATATTAAGTGTTCTGTTAATTATTACTTTATAATTTGTGTTGGGGTTTTTTTTTTTTAATCAGCAATTTGCTACATGTCTAACAGAAAGAATCTTTATGAACTCTAAAGTTGAGGAATTTGACAGAGGTACATTGGGGTCCAGAGTACAGACTGTTGGGACAAAGCATGTGAAAGGTCAGGTCTTTGAGGCTCAGGGAAGAGACCATAGTCACCCTCTTGATGTCCAGCCTTGGATGACCTTCCTTGAATAGACCTCTGCCTCGGCATTGGGTGGAATGGGGTTCCTTCTAAAGCTCGAGAAGATAGAGTATGGATGGCCATCCTATTATTCACAGCCTTACTTTTAAAACCTTGTGTTTTGACTATCATCTGCCACCAAAAGCTCTAATTGGGGTTTGTTTTCTGTTTGATTTGTCTTGTCTGTGTGGCTGGGCAGATGGATGGCGAGTCAGAAGAGGAACCAGAGTCAGCAGACACCGGCGAGGAGGAGGACGATGGGGATGAGTCTGACTTGGTAACCCTTTCTTATGACCTGAGAGGTCTTCACATTATAGGGAAACCACAGGAATTGGGATTCCCGAAATGAGCAAAGCATATAGGAGAGGGAGTGATGCCAGATGAGGGAGTCGTGAGGGAGCCTGCACAAAATGGGCTTAAGGGCCTGACAATCAAGTACCCCTCTGTGGATGGGACCCATGTTGGGCACAGTGTCCTGAGGTTAGGCCAGGGAGGGCAGGAATAGCAAATTTGTGCCTTCAAAGCTGTGGGGTGCATAGATCCATGAGGCTGTGTGTGAGAAAAGGCAGGATAAGCTAGGCAATGGGCATGGACAATTACGCCTGTGAGGGTTTATGGGAGATGGGTAGACAACAGTGTGACGGGGAGACATGATCGATGAGGCTGTGTGAAGAGAGACGAGGTGAGTGAAGAACGATTCAAGTGGAGGGTCTGACACTCTCAACATCACTCTGCAAATTGCATTTCCTGCAAATCCTTGGACAGCAAAAAGCAGCCACCAGGGGTTATTTGAATTGTCAAAGTCCATTTGAACTATGTTATTGTTGTTGATTGCCGTTGAGTCAAGCACGACTCATGGCGACCCTATGAACAAAAGGCCTGAAGCCTTTCTATAACTGACAACATTTATCAAAGTTAATGGAGTTTCCAGAGGCCTGTTGTTTTAGGAAGTGGATTCTACTCCTGCTTCCAATTTGAATTATAGCAGTTATTAATCCTTGTTTATCAGGAGGGAAGATTATTGTGGAAAGTGTATATGTGCCTGCAGTGTTTCTTTTTTGTCTGAGCAAGTTTTCTTAAATTTCACTTTGGACACCATAAGCAGAGATGGTGAGATGACTTTGGTAGTATTTTAATCTAAGCTTCCCCTTGGCAAAATTAGAAGTTAAAGGGAAGCAGAATATCACACAGGGCACCTCTTTGTAGTTTGTGGCAGTTCTATACCTAGAATTTAGGTTCAGATACTTAGAAATTCTCTGTTAATTTTATATATATATTATATATAAATAAAATATTTTCTTCATTTTTAATATCAATAATTCTTGTAACCTACATTCTGAAGCAGATTGGTTTCTTAGGAATGAGATGAATGGAGGCAGTGTGTGATTAAAGTGAACTCTTACTGCACTTACTTAGTTCCTGAGTAGAATTTTCTAGTTTATTTTCTTTTGTGCCAAGCTCAGATAAGATTCATGTAGTTTTGTTTTCTTGACTCTTTTGACTCTTACAGTATTGAGCTTGGAGTCATAACTTTTACTAGGGAAACATGGACACCTTTAAGAATGTGACTTAGGAAAAGATCAGAATGGGAAATTAATTTTTCAGACTCAATATCTAACATTTTTCAGAAACAATGATTTCTAACACTTTATGCTTTCAAGAGCTACTCATGCTTTGCCTTTTCTCCATTTGGCTTTGGCTCTCCAGAGTTCTGAATCCAGCATTAAGAAGAAATTTCTAAAAAGGAAAGGGAAGGCTGAGAGTCCTTGGCTCAAACCAGCCAGAAAAAGGCGACGGAGGAGCAGAAAGAAGCAGAGTGGTGACCTAGGTAGGTGTCCACTGGGCCCTTGGACATGCTGGGGGATGCCTCCTTTCTAGGTCCTGTGACGTCCCAGGACCCGAGATGGAGGAGATAAGGCAAGGAGTAAGATGAGGGGAGGGGGTCCCCTCCTCTCTGTTGGTATTCTGCTTATGATTTCCTTTGGAAAGAGGTTTCTTCTTTTTAAATGTTTGCTATGACTTCACTGTTGGAGACACTCAGGTCGCCTGTTTCAGTCCTGTTTGGGTCCATGCAGACTGCCCCTCAGCTGCTTCTGGGTGACATGCAACCTCCTGAACCAGGGTATCTGTGTGCCTACCTGAGCTTGCCCTGTTGTCATAGTCCCTTCCTGCAGTAGTAACTTTGTTGAAATGCATGCAGGGAAGGAAAGTATTCTCTTGTACGTATCCCCAGAATCAGTGTGTGATCTCTCCTTTGTCATCCTGAAATCTCCTAGAACCAGTCAAGGGTTTCCTTTCCCTAAACACTGCCTCCTGCCCCCAGGCAGCCACTGCTTTCAAACCCTGAAGGTTGGTTCCCATTTTCTGGAATTTTATGTCAATGGTGTCTATCAACATACATTTTTTTCTTTCTTGACTAAGTGTAATTGTCTTGAGAACTGTGCAAATTAGTGTGCGTAACAATAGCAGGGTCCAGTGTATTTTCAGAAAGTATTATTCCATGGAGTGAATGAATGCAGCACCCCACGTACCCAGTTTAGGTTTTATGATAGTTTGAAATTCTTTTCCACAGTTCTCTCCTTTTGATCAAGATTCATCTGTAGAATTTTTTTATTAGAATATGTAGCAATGGTAACTAGGCAATATTCATTTCTGGTCTCTTGGCAAATGACGCATCTATTCATGGAGATGATTAGCCTTACAATCCATTTTCTCCCCGTTACTCCTTTTTCCTTTGTTGCTATAGCCAAATCTTCTTAGATGCCGTGGCTCATAGTGACCCCATAAGCCCTGTCCTGTCCTATGCAATCCTCTTCATCTCTGACACACAGGAGCCCATTGCTTTAATCAGTGTGCCGGTCATCTCATTGGAGATTTTCTCCTCTTTCACTGACTCGCCACTTTTCTAAGGATTAACCTCTCCTAGCAACATATCCAGAAATAGCCAAATAGAGATCAAATATTGTACCTTGGATGAGTATTTGTAAACTTGCTCCACCCCAGGCTCTATGCAGTGAACTAGGACCTAACAGAAGCTCTGAATGTGTTCTGCATTAATTCACTGAGATAACCCAGGAATGGTGGCTAACCTTTCACAGCAGGAACCCACATTCCTCAAGGTGCTTGTAAATAAGCAGCCTCAACAGCTACTATCTTTTGGGAATGTGGATTTTATTTACTATTGTAAATCAAAGTTCCCATAACCTTGCCAGTTCACCTTCCAACAGGTGTGCAGCTTGTTGACAAATTACAACACTGTATGTGGAGTCACTTTTAGTGTGCACTTTTACATCATCAAAAACCGCCACTGAGTACTCCTGTACAGAGAAACGCCTTTTCCCTGCCCTCATTTCCCCCTTCCATTTGGGTACAGGGAAACACTTTGGTCTCTGTGTATCTGCTTGGCCATGTCTTTGTATATAAGTGAGGTTGTGGCATTTTGTGATTGCCTTCTTTAACTCAGCACGCATGGTGTGTTTAGTCTCCATTCTGTAGCGTATTTGATGTCTTCATTTTTTCTACAGCAGAGGGGTGTTGCCTTGTATGCATGGACCATCCTTTGTTTATCCATTCATCTGATAGTGGACATTAGGCTGTTTCCAGCTAGCTTCTGGCTGTCATAAATAGTGCTGCTGTGGACGTGCTGTGTCACTGCACCTGTATGAGTGTCTGAATTTCGGCCTTCATGTCTTCTGGGTATATACCTCTTGGTGCAATGACTGGATTTGTAAGTCTTTTTCATAGTGTATCTCTGTATTCTGTCCATTTAAATGAGGCTGTTTTCTCACTGAGTTGTAAGAGCTGTTCTGTATCATTCCCGTGTAGCAGACGAAGGGCTGCATGGGCTACGCATGCTTTTAATTTTCTGACCAGTGTTTTAGAGGGCAAAAGTTTTAGACTTTTTTGAAGTCTAAAGTTTCTTCTTTTTTGGTGCCTCATCTAAAAAATCTCTGACTCTTATCACAACCATGTTGTCCCAGATTTTTCCTGGTTTCACAGTGGTCCTTCCCAGTAGATCACTGCTTTGTGCTGGGTGATGGGAGGCAGACCTCCAGGTTCCTTTATCCCCACGTGGCTGAGCAGATCTTCTACCTCCGTTTGCTGCACATACTTCATGTGCTCCCTTGGGTTACACCAGGGGCTTTGGCAGCAAGATTTTGACCAGTGTGTCTGAGACTCTCTTGCCTTCTGTTCTCCATTTGTGCATGTTATCTCTACGTTGATGCCACAAGGCTGCGTTTGCCTTCTAAAAACTTACTTTCACTGTTTGTCAGTGTTCCATGATTTAGAATAACTTTTGTTAAAATGGCCATGAGAGGACAAATAACCTTGAAATGTCATGACTTTGAGTGGATCAGTGTCCAGCACAATGAAGTGTGCTGTTGGCAGTGTTGGGCAGCATCCTGTCCAGCAGGGTACCCATCTGTGGTCACCACTGGCCTAATTGACTGATTTTCTTTATCAGTGGCTGCCAATGTGATTGTAAGACTCATCGCTTTTATTGTTAGCTGACTAAAGCATTTGTTGTTCCAATATGAAAATGTATTTATGAGGCAGAGACTTCATTGTCATGTGTGAAGTGCATGTTTGAGTGTTTAGTCCCATGGGAGCTTGACTTTTCTTTCCATGTGACTAAAACTTGTATTGATGCCTTGTGTTTTCTCTGTAGCTGGTGATTTCTCCTACGGTCTAGGTATAGAATGTGGTGGTCATTACCTGAAGGGCTGTAGATGCTACACTTTGGTACCATGGTTATATGCTTCTGCCAATGAAGTAATACTGGTGTCAGTGCACAGAGGTGAAATGTGGGTATTTGCTCTTTGTTGCTTTTAGCAATTTTCCTGTGCAAATGCACACTCCTTACCAGCGTCCTTAGAAAAATGCTCCCAAAGTTAGCAGACTCAGCTTTGTGATGGTTCTTCTGCCCCTGTGGCTCACCACTCCCTGGTCCTTTCTCTGACAGTAGAGGTCTCAGAAATCTTTGCTGTGTCCACTTTACAAGCTTCTAAATTATTGGCAGCCTTATTAACATATGCCTCTTACCTTCAGCGACAGATTTTATCCACTCTGTCTTGGGCCCTTTTGGTTAGACTGTGAATAGGAGCTGAGTCCTTGTCCTTAACCAACTTCCTAGAGTGGCTGGCTTTTCAAATCTGCGAGTCAGAGATTTCTGTTTTATTTTAAAAATAATGTTCAGAAGGCATGTGAGTTCTATTTTTACTCATTTTATTGATTACATGTTAGTTGTCTGCCCCACCCCTAGCAGAGAATTAACAAAATAGATCAAAAGAAAGGAGAGTGAAACTATAATGGCCTAATTGATCATGTATTTCCATCCGTTTCCCAACTTGGTTAATTAGAATTTGCTGTGCGTGTGGCCTCTGTCCCCCTGCAGTGGTCTTTCCTGGCTCTCGGGTGCACAGTGTCTTACGGTGTGTGCATTTCGAATGCAGGTTCTGAGGCGTATAAATCACCATCAGGAAGCACAGAGCAGACTACCCCTGGAGACAGCATGGGATACATGGAAGTCCCCCTGGATTCTCTGGATCTCCGTGTCAAAGGGATTCTGTCCTCACAGGCAGAAGGTGACCACCGTTCTGAAGTCATGTGGCGGGCACCGTTTTGGTTCTGTTAGCTTGGCTTCCTCCTCTCTTGGGAGGAGGAGGCGCCTGATGGATGTTACTAGGCAATGTGACTGACTGCGTGAGTTAGGGGGACTGAGGCAGTGATGTGATAGAAACTGTTTTTGCCTAGTCACTCAGAGGAGTCAAGTGAAGAGATAGAAATTGTGGAAACACCGTAGGCCCCTCGCTCCTGGAAGATTGATGGGTTGGCCCGAGCTTGGTATGTGGCCATTTCTCCCACCCTACCCTACACATATTCCAGTGGTGAGTCCCTTGGGGGGAGGTCTCCTTGCACACGATGACAGCTTTGTATGGTGGCAGTGATTCTAATTGTCTGAAATATGAAGTATTGGTGTTAGACTAATAGTTTTCAAGCCTGTTTTACAGTAGAATAAGATCTGTGTGTAATACTGAGCATGAGCCTTTGACGCACCATTGCATGACCACCTCGGGCTGGAAACTGCAAGCTGACAGCTGGGCTGCTTATGTAGGAAATGCTGCCAGGATGTGCTGAAGTTCACTCATACCCACTTTGTAAACTACTTAGCTCATTTATATGAATGGAAAGTAATCTTGAGGTCTGTGTAGAGAAATAGAAAGTCTTGCAGCTGTTTACCTTCTCTTTAAATCTCACAGCTCTGGATGGTGAGCAGCTGGAAGGGCTTTACCAACCACCCTTTAGAGAACAAAAGAGCTAGTGTTTCAGGGTTTTAAACACTTGAAGGGGTTTGATTAACCTATTAAGTTGAGGAAATAATATTTTTAATGAGACATAAATTTAAGTTTAGGGAGTCACATGTTTAATAAGGGGACACATTGCACTGGGGAAATCTGCAGCTAGGGACCTCTCCAAATTATTGAGAAGTAATGATGTCAGTTTGAAGACTAAGGTGATTCAGGCTATAGTCTTTCCAGTCATTTGCTACGCATCTGAGAACTGGAATAAGAATGGCAGAAAAAGAATTGACACCTTTGAGCTGTGGTGTTGGAGAAGAGCACTGAACATCCCATGGACGGCCAGGAGAACAGATATGTCTCGGAGAGGGTGCAGCAGGAGTGCTCTTTGGAGGCAAGAATGATGAGGCTTCACCTCACATACTTTGGGCGTGTTGCTAGGAGGACATGATGCTGGGAAGGATGGAGGTCAGCAAAAGAGAGGGAGACACAGTGGATTGACATGGTGACTGCTGCAGTGGGCTGTTGTATGTCAGGAAGTGTGAGAATGACACAGGGTAGAAAAGGGTTCAGATCTTTTGTTCATAGGGTCATTGTGAGTCACCAGCAACTCTCAGGCTTGTCCATCCCAGAAGCAGCCTGTCTGTTCTGTCTTCTACCAAATGGAGTATCAGTCTCTCTCCACTCATCATGACATCTTTGGTGGTACTATTTCCTACTTGCTTTTGAGATGACATCCTGCATCTCATTTTTCCAAGTTGGTTCTTGAATGTGGAGCCTCCAACTGTTAAGGATAAAACTTTGAGGAGGAAATAATACTTGGCTTCACTGTGCTGGTGCCCTTAGCTGTGTCCACAGTGGTTGGCGTTCGAGATAGCAGAGTGTTATGGGACTTGTTTCCGCCAGCTGAGCTTTCTGGCTTTGGACAACCCTCCTTTGTTGTTTTAGCTGAACAGTAAGAGAAAGAAGGAGATGGCCTTCAAAGACCCTTCCACCTTGTATTAAAGAGGTCCACAAGGTGAGGGTCACATCAGAGAAGTGGCAGAAGTGTGATGGTTTATATTGTGTGACAGCATGACCCTGACTTTTAGTGTTAAATAGCTACCCTGTGTGTTATATGTCCTGACCTCTGATGTTAGTGAGGCAGGATTCGAGGCAGTTACAGAGTGATATGATCCTTCTGATCTGATAGACCCATCAAGGATGTGGCCTGCTTTGGATATGTACATATGTGGACTTCCAGCAAAGCTAGAGAGCTTGTGTCCAGTCCTGCATCTGGACTGTTAGCGCCTGATGTGAGCCAGTGGTCTGCTGACTTGCTGACTTGCACCAGCATCTTCTAGAGCCCGTAGCCTGCGAGCCTGTCTGCTGATGCCCATGGACTCATTAGCTGTCCCTGAAACCTCTCTCTGAGGTCTGACCTACAGCCACAAAATTGACCTTGCTCAGTGGGAATGAATGTATGGGATTGAACTCAAGCAGATCTAAAGACAAGTAAGTTACAGGAGGACGTGGCCCAAATGCCCATGGTCTCCAACCAAGAAAGAGAAACCTTGCATAGAAGGTTCTACACAGTGGAAAGTGCCACTTGGAAGTGGACAGCAGGAGCAATGCAATCCCTCCCGGCCACATACCTGAAGGACGTGGGTGGTGAGGGGAGATTGTCTAGTGAGCTCACTTTGAACACTGCACCTGCTTGTTCACTTGTCTCAGAAAGAGAAAGCCAGATGTGTCATTATATATAGATATATGGATTCATGGGCTGTGGCCAGTGGTTTGGCTAGATGGTCAGGGATTTTTAAGTAACAGAGGATTGGTGTCAAGGAGGTATCAGGGGGATGAAGTATGTGGAGAGACCTCTTTGAATGGGCCAGAGAAATGAGAATCTTTATTTCTCATGTGAATGCTTATCCAGTGGTGATCTTGACAAAGGAGGATTTGGACAATCAAGTGGCGGATGTTCTTTGGAAACCATTCAGTCTCTTTCTCTAGCCACTCCTATCACTGCCCAGTTGGTTCATGTACAAAGTGGTAATGGTCACGGTGGAGGTCATGCATGGACTCAGCAACATGAACTTCCACACCAAGACCAGCTACTGAGGGTCTTGCAGCAGCAGACACCCAACGCCGAGTCCTTGATTGGGAAGTATTCCTCAGAATGGTCAGCCAGCAAGTTGGGGGCGGCTGGATTCCAGTGGACTGCTTCCATGGTGGAAAAGATAGTGTGGCTCTCAAGGTAATAGACTCATACTTTGGATACTCATATGCCTTCCTTGTATCCATTGTTTCTGTCGATAGTACCATTCATGGGCTCACAGAGTGCCTTATTCACTGCCATGATAGACTGTGGATACATTGGATCAAGGGACTCCGCTCATAGCAGATGAAGTGTAGCAGCCTGTCTCACTGTGTCCCCATCAGTTTGGAGTGGTTGTCTTGGTACAGTGATGGAATGGCCTTCTAAAGACAGACTTACGGTGCCAACTTGGTTGGAAGTGCCTTGCAGGGCTTAGCCAGCATTCCCAGGAGACTGACTGTGTGCTCTAAACCAGCCTCCAAGTGTATAGAACAGTTTCTCCCATAGCTAGAGTTAGTATGTCCAAGAATCAAGGGGTAGAAATGAGAGTGGCATCACTCACTATTATCATTAGGGACCCTTTCTGCCTCCTGTGAAAAGGAAGACATACTCCATCTGGCGATTGAAGACTGATTCTGGTGAAATGGAAATTAAGCATGCCGCCTGGCCATTCATGCTTTTCAAAGGCCCTGGATCAGTGGATGAAAAAGAGAGTTACTGTCTTTTGTGATGTGATTGATCCTGCTTACCAAGGGCAAATAGGATTAGTGGTTACACATTGCAGTAAATAAGAGTGTGTCTGCACATCTGTGCTTATTGCTGCATTGATCACAGTAGCAAAGAGATGGAAACAACCCAAGTGTCTATCAAGAAACTAATGGATAGAGAAGCTGTGGTATAGTCACACAATGAAATACTATGCTGCATTGAAAAACAAGGAACTCATGAAATATACAAAATGGGTTACCCTGGAGGACTTTATGCTGTGTGAAATATCACAGTCACAAAAGGACAAATACTGTATAATGCCACTGTTATAAAACAGGACTGACATCGGGGTTGGGGGAAACTAAGAAAAGAGGGGATAAATAATGTATACTGCGTCAAAACAGATGAGGGAGAGAACTGTTTAAAAGGAATATATGATTAGTATTATTAGCATGAATAAGAGCTGCATAGCACAGTGGACTGGGAAGGGGGTGGAGAGGAAATTGTGCAACAATGAAAGAATAATGAAAGAATTTTTTTTCAAAGAGAAAAGCAAACTGGGGGATGGGCAGGAAGGAAAAAGTACAACAGTGAATGAATGGAAATCCAAGTTCTTTATAAACTTTTGTTAGAATCTCAATTTTAAAAAAAAGCAGAATGTGTCTGGAATTCAGGAGTTGCCATCGCCTAGTACTGCTGTGTCCTGTCCTTAATGTCTGTGGAGAGCGGCGGCGACCCAGCCTGACAGGCCTGCGAGGCCTAGATCTTTAAGGAAGTTAAGACGGGTCCACCTCTCCAGCCAGGAGACATCGGCCGGCTGAGACGGCTTTGGATTCAGTATGGCAGAGCAAGATGGCGGGCTGCAGCCACGTGATCAGTTGCAAAAGGGAGGACTGTAATTTTAAGTTCTTCCTTTGATGAATCTTGTCCACTGGCGGCAGTGAACAACAGCGGCACCAATGTTTGTGTGAGGTATTTTCATTATCTTCACTTGGAAATATAAGACAGGACTGGAGCCTTTCCAGTTACACAGGTACATGTTCATGATACCATGTTAGGTACAGGTTGTTGTGATAGTTGTCTCCATTTGAGATGAAAAATGATTTAAGGAGATGTGTTCAGGTACTGAGTTGATAAGAGTGGGCTGTGATGTTTAACGGTGCATGTCAGAGTGGCCACAATCCTCCCCACACAGTAGCTATGCTCTGCGTCCTTACCCCTGGTATCTGATGGCAATGCAGCAGGATCGGCCCAGTCTGCTGAGATGTGTGGCCTGTACTCCGTGTTTGTGTGCATGTAAGACAAAGCTAAAGAACTTCTTAGGGGAGCTCTGGTGGCCTAGTGGCAAGGAGCTGCAACTACAATCCCAGAGGCGCACGGTTCGAAGCCACCAGATGCTCTGCCGGGGAAGGAGGGACAATCTTTTCCTGTACCAGTCAGATCTGATTTGATGGTACGCTCACACAAAAATAATAAAATAAAATAAAATTTAAAAAAAAAAAAAGAAGAACTTCTTGCCCAATCTTGAATGTAGTTTGCCACTCTGGACTTGAACCAGTGTCCTGCTGTGCTTGCTGACCTTGGGCTGCCACTTACAGGTCTGTGGCCCTGTCTACTGACTTCATTAGCCTTCACAGACTTTTTTTTAAAAAAAAACACATCGTTTTGCTTTTAGAGAAGCTTTACAAATCATACAGTCTTTTTCATATAAACTTTCATACACATTTTCTTTTATAACTTTAATTACCAGTCATTGTTGTTGTTAAGTGCCATCGAGTTGCAGGGGACTATGAAGGAGAATCCTCAACGCTTGGGTGTCTGTCATCCTCTCTCCATGTTCATAGGGTTTCTGGAGGCAAGCTGTTAGGAAGTGGATGCCACTCCTCCTTCCAAGCTTGTTTTAATCGGGGAGCTCCACCCCATTCTATATCCACATTGTGTAACCAGCCATTAATGCATTTGACACATCAGTGTCACAGTGTTCGGCCTCACAGCAACCACAAGTGACTACTATACGGCAACCTGTACACCAGGGCTATACGACCTAGAGGAATGTCTGAACAAAAACAATGGAAGACTGGCCTGAGGGCCACAGATTAAAAGTCACCCACCTTTGGCTTGGTGGCATCGCCATCTGTCCGCTGGGCCAGCTGATCTCTCTGTGTTGATGTTATTGTTGTTAAGTGCCGTCGAGTCACAGGTGACTCATAGCGACCCTATGAAGGAGAGTCCTCAACGCTTGGGTGTCTCTCATCCTCCCTCCAGGTTCATAGGGTTTCTGGAGGCAATGCCTAATTGGTCCTTGAGAACCCAGTTCGTAAGGAGTAGTACTGCCAACCTTTGGGCAGACCATTTGAACCTGTCTCCTCTTGTGCCCCTGAACCCTCCCTGCCAGCTCTGAGTTGGTTCTAGTTTGACAGCACATAATGGCAGTCAACCCTTACTATGTGCTGTCTACCCCAGTCTCTTCTCCTGAGGTCTGACACACACATCTGGGACTAGCCAGCTTCTGCAAATCATTGACACATTTCTTTGGGTTAAACAGACATGGGATGCCCTTTGAGTAGGAAGATCTGTGGTATACTCTGAAGAGAGATATCCAGTGTGACTCGCTCAGGAGAGAGACCTGGGGTGCCCTCTGAGGAGAGAGACCTGGGGTGCGCTGGGAGGATAACGACCTGAGGATAGAGCCACCTGCTGAGGAGGGATCCGTGGGTCGCTGCTGAGGGCATAGAGCTGAGGTGATGTGCATTTGGCTGTGTTTCTACCTGTCTCCCCTCGTGTCTGGTATTAGAGGTTGAGTTGGGTTGAAGGTGATACTGCCACCCCTGCAGGGACCCACAAAGGGACTGGACTTGATGGTGACGGCTCTGGTAGCCAGCATGCCCTCTGCCTGGCTGTGGCCAGGAATAGAAGCAGCTGTGTTTCTTGAGCTGTTGTAGCTGCTAAGATTTCATCCCTTACTGGTTGGTGTGCATTCTCTCCTCAGTGCCTCTCCTTCAGCTTATTGTTGCTAAGTGCTGTTGAGTTGACTACAGAGCGTAACGACCGTGTGAACAGTGGGTCTGAATCCTGTCCAATCCTGTGTCGTTTTCATCATCTCTGACACACTCGAACCCACTGTTACAGTCATTGTGTCTAACCATCTTGTTAAGGGTCTGACCCTCCATCTTCCCAAGCATGATGTCCCTTTGCAAGCACTGGCCCCTCCTTCTCAAAGTATATCAGAGAAAGCTTCTCTGTGCTTGGCTCTTAAGGAGTATCCTGGGTGCGCCTTTTCCTGGACTTAGTTTGGTCATCCTTTTGTCAGTCCATTAGATATTCAGTACACAGCTCCAGCATCGCAGCTCAAAGGCATCAGTTGTTCTCCTGTCATCCTTATTCATTGTCCAAATTTCAGATGCATAGCGAATAATTGAAAAGCCCATGGCTTGTATCAGCTGTACTTTAGTATTCACCCTGCCATCTTTGCTCTCTAGCACTGTGGAGAGATCCATGGCAGCCGACTTTGCCAAAGCAATATGTGTTCTGATTTTTCTGGCTGCTGGTGCCAAGGGTCTCTTTCAACCTAGTAAGTAGTAAATAATGCTATCCATAAAAGGAGTACCATTGTTAAGGACTGTTCGTCATTATTGCAATTTGAACATCATGTGAGGAGAATGAAGTTTGAGCAATATAATAAATGGTGATAATTGGAGGATTAGAAGTCACTGCTGATGAATATTCACTCTCTCAACCCCCACCTCCTGGCTCTCTTAACCAGAGAGCTGGAGTCCCTTTCTTGGGAAGCATGTAGGGGTGGGATCCCTTCAAAGTATCCTGTACCACCTCAGTGAGATCACCTTGAGGACATGTGACAGCTGCCTGCCTCTGGGCACGCCTAAGATTCAGGATTGTGGTTCTGATGCAGGAAACGCCCTCACTAGCCCTATCATCTGCTCCAGGCTCTGCCTATACCCATGTGTGTGTATGTGTGTGTGTGTGTGTGTTACAGGACTGGTCAATGGTCCTGGGATGACAGACGCAGATGGCCTCCAGGAAGTACCCCTCTGCAGCTGCCGGATGGAGACGCCGAAGAGCCGAGAGGTCACCACCCTGGCCAACAACCAGTGCATGGCCACCGAGAGTGTGGACCACGAGGTGGGTGCGAACTATGTGGGCGTGAACTATGTGGGCAGCACAGACAGGCAGAGCTCAGAAAGGGCCCTTCTCATTAGTGCTCAGACTCTGGCTTTCATCCCCTAAATTCAGTGTGTTCTATGACCACATCTTTGATAAGCTCCAGAAACGGCAAGCAAATGATGGTCATGAAATAGGAGCAGAACCCTGTGGCAAGGATAGCCAGTAGGTGGTGTGAGGAAGCCTGCCCAGGAGCCCCACCTCTCCACGAACCGTGGGCCTTGTCCTTCCTTTGTGATGAACCCAGAGATGTTTAGTGAGTCAGGGTGAGCTACACTCCAGATGACTTAGCACGGCCCGCCTGTGAAGCTGTGCTCACCTTCTCACCGGTTGCCTCGAGCTCACTGTGGCTGTGGCATGAGTGGGGACTGTCAGCAGCTGACTGAGAGGCTCCTTCGTGCGGGTGAGGTCAGATGAAAAGGCCCTGTTGTCTCTGAGCATCTCATGTTACTGTTGGAGAAGTTTTGAGCCTCTGCACTGAGCATAGTTGTGTGCTGCTTAAAGAAGCACATCAGGGCTGGGCTGGGGAGCCTTTGCTGAAAACTTGGTCAGTATGCAGTTTTCTGGACCTCGGCCTGCTGCACCATCTGATCAGCCACGACTGGATCTTACCAGGAGTTGTGGAATCATGTGGCACTTTCTCTGTGCTCCTGTGCGAGCACTTCCATGTTAGCCACTTTCAGTCAGGCCCTAGGTGCCGGCTACAGGCTACAGTCGGAGGGCCTGCTCTTTCCCTTGGTGTGCTGTGTGGACACTGAGTCTGCTGCATGTGTCGATATCTGTTTCCTTGGACTTAGTGCCTACTTGGCCAGAATAGGGAGCCGCTGGTTCTGCCTGACTGGTTTTAGATAGTTAGCGTTTGGTTTTATGTTAAGAAATTTGACAGGAAGGATTAAGAGTTGCCCCCCCACCCCCCACCCCATCACAGTAGCAGTGGTCAGGTAGCGATGAGCTTCTTTGTGACTGACCCTTCTTCATACAGGCCCTCAGCAGTCTTGTCCCTAATAGTGCTGTCACGTCTGAACCAGCTTCTAGCTGATCCTCCACCAAGTTGTCAGGGGCTGTTAGTTGGATGGGAAGAGATTGCTTCTCTTGCCGCTTTGGAGTTAACAGTACACCTCCCAGTAGACCATACCACCAGAACTCCTTGCCTGCTATTCTTAGGGAATAATAAAGACGTGGTGACTTTCTTTCTGGGTTTTCTTGCTTGTTATTTAGTCTCTACTTTAGACTAGACCCACAGGTCACTGGGGATGATTTGGGGAGGTAAAGGAGTCCCCAGGACTTTCCTGGAGTCATTTGGTCAACAGTAGCTTTGTAACAACACAACACGTCTCACACCATGTGCCTTTTCCTCCCAGTGCTCCTTTGTGCATCAGGGCTCTGCACCTGGCCTTGGAAGCGGTCCACAGTGTGGGGCTTGTGTGCCAGCAGGCTGAGCAGGCATTGATGTTGAGCTGCTCAATGGGTGTCCATGGAGTGTCCCAGAAGAGCCCCTTGCCCGAGTGCAGTCCCTCCCACAGGGCTCTCTCCCCATGCAGCATGCCTGGGAGAGTCCAACACAGTCATACACAGATAATAGGGTTATATACAGTGCCTTTAATTAAAATACTTTTTGAGGCAGAGTTGCTTTTTTTCCCCTTTTCTTTTTTTAATAATTTTAATGAACATTTACAGAGAATTTGGATTTCCATTCATTCATTGCTGCACTT